GTGAATGTGTGGAATGACAGAAAGTTCTGCCAAATTTATTGCAATTTTGACTGAAAATAAATAGTTAAGGAAAACATAATTTATGCGGTTAAAGCATTTGTCATCTGTTTGGTTGTCTAGTCAGTTCACAATAGAAAGTCACTTTTGATGCTGAAAGTATCATTTCGGTCGGAGAAAATATTATTTCTAAATGTAACATCGATAGCTCATCTCAAATATGATACGTAAGTTGGAAGAATTTTAATATGAATCAATGGTCGTCGAGTAAGATCAGCATATTGCACTGCAATTACTCGAAATCGTGTTCCGGGACGCAAGAGTATTTCTTCTTCCTGATTATAATGAGTGTATTGGTCTAAGCATGTAAATTGATCATCGTATGAGTGTCGTCGAAGTTCAATCACATACGTAACATTCATACCAAATACCTCAGCTACATTTTGCTTGAGTGAAGTAGAAACGAATGGAAGCCACTTAAAAGATTTGTTTTTGTTTCCAGCTGCCTGACGGTATTCTTCTATTTGTTCCTTAGTAATATGATCTCCACGGTAGACAGTCACCAATGATGATTCAGTTGAGTGAAACTTCTGCCAAAAATAACGATGAATCGAAAAAAGCTCTTCATACGGACGACCAACATAGTTATAAAGTACATAACAATAGGGACCTAGAGTGTAAAGCTTTTTTCGATCGTTCTCACGTAAAGCGGTATTGATAACTCTAAAAACGTAACAGTCTTTTGTGTACAGTTTGACACAATAATTTTCTAACATTTTCATACGATCGCGCTCTTTTTTTCTAGAAGATGCATCTCTAACAAAGTTCAATTCTTTAACAATCTCGTTAATGACACTTGACTGCTGATTTTCTTTTTCACCTTCATCCTTCAGACCGTTGAGTAGTGCGGGAAAGATGTTATCAAAAGTCACAACAATTTTGCCATGATTAAATGTCAATAACCAATCTTGAACAAATGGTGAACCACGATATAGTGTATCTATCGTTGTGCTGTGCCGTGGAGTCGACTGCAAGGGAAAGGATAATCTCTTACGAATTCCAGCTTTACCTTCAGTGTCCTCGTTATTATCGGCAAGTAGTATACCATTCTGTCGTCGGACACGACGTTGTCTATGTACATCTTTAATATTGATTTGAACCAGTTTTTCGAAGTCTATCTTGTAACAATGGTCAATGAATATGTGTTCAAGACCAGAATTGAAAGCTTTTTCTATCTCCACTGATACATTATCTGGATATGGTGTCCATTCGGCAGTTTGAATATCATCCCATGGATCTGTATTCGACTGATACATCCAGATAAATATGGGTTCAGCGAAAGAATCTCGAATTCGACGTACAGAAGTCAATTTTACTGGTGAGTTTGAATCGATGCTTGCATCAACGGAAGAGATTAGTTTCCTTCCATAAACTTTCATAACAGGTTTCGAAAATAGCTTCATCGTTCAGATAATTTGTATTGATAAGACATTGATCTTTTTCCAAGCGCACATCGATTCAAAAATAACGATTAATACAGACAAATTCCTTGTGTACCTTGAAAGATATCGACACAGGCTTCTCTACCATCTAACATTACGAAACGAAATCAATTCACACTAGAGTTCTAAGGGATAGTTTCGAATCTGGAAAAATCCCGTTTGTTTCCTCTCTCGGCACAATCCGAATCGGGACAATTGTTGAAAACGCATATGATTTATGGATAGTAAATGTTATATTTATAAAATCAGTAAATTTTTTTAGTGTTCAGTAAACTATTTAAACGGTCAGTTATGAATTGATTATGTTTGTCAATCAGTTTAAAGATCACCAAATACAGTTTATTAGCAGTCAATTATATTAAAGGCTCAGTATAAAAGTTGAAATAATTAAAAGGTGAATCACTTTGTTTTTCTTTTTTTTTGCTCTTCAGCTGTTCTACGTATGTTCTCGTTCTTCTGACTTACTTCTTTTAATCCACGTATCTTATGAGTAAGAAGAATCATTGTTTTAAGGATAGATGGGTGTGGGTGTGAAATATGCGGATGTGAGTATAAGTCTATTACTATACATGATGAGAAAATCCATACCTACACCAACACCCCTGAAGGTTGTAACGATCCGTATATATTCTGAAAAACGTCACTCCTGCTTCTGCTTTCTAAGTCCACGAGTTCAAGCTTACATTAAATCTTACTTCTACCAAATTATTTGTAATAAGTTGCTTTTAGAGAAATATGAGTTTAGTTTTACGGACGAATATACACTTAATACGCAATGCGAAAAAAATATGGGGCTCACTCTTACCAATGGTAGTGTTGTTTTTGAAATGCTAATGCGATAAAGTAAACGCATTCTACTCTTGCTTTCTGTTATAAGTATGTCTGAAGTGTGTTGACAAACCAGATAGTAAAAACAAAATTAATAATTCACCAGTTACTTGCTGATATTGATTTAAACGCATGTAATGCAAATTGAGTAAATATCGCACACAGGTAAGTAAATATAGCGGAAATGAATAAAATTAATTCGTAGAGAGAAAATGACGACAATCATGCAGAGTGAAATCGCAACAAACTTTGAAAATGCTACTTTCCGACTTATCAGAAAAATTGACAAATGTATCATTCCCTATATAATAATGATCAAATTATTTATTTTTGGTGCTCACTATGGAATATGTTTACTTCTACATAAATGCTGTAATTGTTTCTAACATCTACGTTTTGTTTAGGCCTTCCCCGGCAGACTAACTTCAAGAATGATCTCAACTTATCGTCAGCAAAAGATATTTTGTCACTTTCGGTATATTAGATAGATTATGTAAGCACATAGCTTGAATACAAACTTTTGATACAAGTTTTGTTCGAAATTTCTCGTCGAATACAAGAGATTTGATATTATATCTTCACTTGATTAGTCAAAATTGGCTTAGATACCTAGTTGACCATAAAATTTTCCTATCTTTATATCGATAAATTGGTCCCGATTACATTCATGAAGAGGACATATTTGATGGCACAATAGTGTCACGTCTCCCTCTGCGAACGCAAAATGATGGTTTCCTATATTGCAGCATACTAATTTTAATATCGAATAGTTACTCCTGTATTGTATTTCCGTTAATGCTTGCAGTACCAAGTACAATACTTCCACGCTTGATTGGTCTAGCATTCTATGTGATGTTATGCATGATTCTGTAGGGAACCTTCACAAGCATCATTGTGTTTGTGGCTATTGGGAGACGATTAATCGCTTTTTGTTGTGTTCTCGAAAGTGCATAATCGAGTTGGGTGTCTTCACTGGTGTCATCATTTATATTTATGCTGTGATATGGAAAAAGAGATCAGATCAATGGATGAGCCATATTTTCCGGAGCTTCATACATTTTCAGCGCTTTTGATGAGCTTTTGACGAGTATTCACCTGGCATCTTTCTCTTGTTATCATCAAACGGATGATGGAATGATGATGGAGTGAAATTGATTGCCTGTTTTAGTTGTATATTATCACTAAAGTGGATGGTATTGTTGATTTGAAAGATTGGGAATTGCTGTTTTTATTCAACAGACTACCGATTATTCTGTTTGGTATTATTACTGAATTTTTTTGGAACTGTGCCTGGAACTGTTCATTATAGAAATTTGTACGAAAGTAGAGCATAACATGAATAGCTAAAGACACATATTAGGGCTGAACAATATTCAGAAAGATATGCTCACAGAAATTCTTGATGCAGATGTGGGTATGACTGACAATGAACCTCAGTCAACCAGTCGTCTTTCCTAGCTTCCAGTGGAGTAGGCATTCATCGATTGCCAAATATGTCATAAAGAGAGAAAACAATCGACGAGAAACAAATGTCCAAGAGCCGTATGATTTGATAATCATAAATTGCTTCCTGTGAATAGCAAAGTTTTGATAGTTCCAGATCACTATTTTAGCATCCTGTCTTTAAGTATACGCTTTGGAAGCGCCTGATCACAATTCAAGAAAACTCGATCCAAATGGCTTCGGGGATCATTCAGTAAGGTGAATTCTGAAGTACTATCGGACACCATTTCTGAAAAATGAAACAAAAAGCTAGATCGCCGAATATTTTTCGATTCTATATCGATGTAGTACAGTGCTATTGATTCGATATAATCCATTGTCTTGCTAGTTAGAATTTTCAAGAATACATAAATCGAACTTTT